TTGTACTAGGTGCCTCTGTGGATGTGTAAGCTTTAACTTCAACATAGCCTTTTCTGAGACCAGTCACTAGCTAATCACTCAGTTATTTCAATGCTAAATTCGCCTAGTTATTTCAATGCTAAATTCTCCTGTTTGATTTGTACTAGGTGCCTCGGTGAATGTATATGCTCTGACTTTAACATAGCTATTTCTGTGACCAGTCACAAGCTAATCACTCAGCCATTTCAATGCTAAATTCTCCTGTTTGATGAGTACTAGGTGCCTCTGTGAATGTGTATGCTCTAACTTTGACATAGCTATTTCTGTGACCAGTCACAAGCTAATCACTCAGCTATTTCAATGCTAAATTCTATGCTAATTCCTTTGTCAAGGGATGCCTCTGTGGATGTGTATGCTTTGACTTTAACATAGCCATTTCTGTGACCAGTCACAAGCTAATCACTCAGCTATTTCAATGCTAAATTCTCCTATTTGATTTGTACTAGGTGCCTCTGTGGATGTGTAAGCTTTAACTTTAACATAGCCATTTCTCTGACCAGTCACAAGCTAATCACTCAGCTATTTCAATGCTAAATTCTATGCTAATTCCTTTGTCAAGGGATGCCTCTGTGGATGTGTATACTTTAACTTAGCTATTTCAATGAGCCATTTCAATGCTAAATTCTATGCTAATTCCTTTGTCAAGGGGTGCCTCTGTGGATGTGTATACTTTAACTTAGCTATTTCAATGCTAAATTCTATGCTAATTCCTTTGTCAAGGGGTGCCTCTGTGGATGTGTATGCTTTAACTTTAACATAGCCATTTCTGTGACCAGTCACAAGCTAATCACTCAGCTATTTCAATGCTAAATTCTCCTGTTTGATTTGTACTAGGTGCCTCTGTGGATGTGTATGCTTTAACTTTAACATAGCCATTTCTGTGACCAGTCACAAGCTATTCACTCAGCTATTTCAATGCTAAATTCTCCTGTTTGATTTGTACTAGGTGCCTCGGTGGATGTGTAGGCTTTGACTTTAACATAGCCATTTCTGTGACCAGTCACAAGCTAATCACTCAGCTATTTCAATGCTAAATTCTCCTGTTTGATTTGTACTAGGTGCCTCTGTGGATGTGTATGCTTTAACTTTAACATAGCCATTTCTGTGACCAGTCACAAGCTAATCACTCAGCTATTTCAATGCTAAATTCTATGCTAATTCCTTTGTCAAGGGGTGCATCTGTGGATGTGTATACTTTAACTTAGCTATTTCAATGAGCCATTTCAATGCTAAATTCTATGCTAATTCCTTTGTCAGGGAGTGCCTCTGTGGATGTGTATGTTTTAACTTAGCTATTTCAATGCTAAATTCTATGCTAATTCCTTTGTCAAGGGGTGCCTCGGTGAATGTGTATGCTTTAACTTTAACATAGCCATTTCTGTGACCAGTCACAAGCTAATCACTCAGCCATTTCAGTGCTAAATTCTATGCTAATTCCTTTGTCAAGGGGTGCCTCTGTGGATGTGTATACTTTAACTTAGCTATTTCAATGCTAAATCTATGCTAATTCCTTTGTCAAGGGGTGCCTCTGCGGATGTGTATACTTTAACTTAGCTATTTCAATGCTAAATTCTATGCTAATTCCTTTGTCAATGGGTGCCTCTGTGGATGTGTATACTTTAACTTAGCTATATCAATGCTAAATTCTATGCTAATTCCTTTGTCAAGGGGTGCCTCTGTGGATGTGTATACTTTAACTTAGCTATTTCAATGAGCCATTTCAATGCTAAATTCTATGCTAATTCCTTTGTCAAGGGGTGCCTCTGTGGATGTGTATGCTTTAACTTAGCTATTTCAATGCTAAATTCTATGCTAATTCCTTTGTCAAGGGGTGCCTCTGCGGATGTGTATACTTTTAACTTAGCTATTTCAATGAGCCATTTCAATGCCAAATTCTATGCTAATTCCTTTGTCAAGGGGTGCCTCTGTGGATGTGTATACTTTAACTTAGCTATTTCAATGAGCCATTTCAATGCTAAATTATTTGCTAATTCCTTTGTCAAGGCGCTTGGTCTGTTTCCTCTCACACAGCTGAAAAGGTCGCGATCTGAGCGTGGCTTCTCCCACTCCAGCGCTGTCCTACCAGACAGCCTCGTTCCCCTTCACCTGACGAAGGCCGCTTGTGGTGTTGTGGCCGAAACGTCGGCCACAACACAATTTTTTTCGTCACTTTATATTTATATTTTTTTAACCCCACGTGACTTTACCCCCCAATAGAACCATTGTGTGCAGCTGTGACCCATCAATAAATAAATGTAGCCTCCCGAGTGTGCCGAGTTTCACTCTACCGATGTGACCTCGTGAGACGGGAGCTCATCGCTGCGGTTCCTACGCCTGGTGACTGACCCTGGGGTTGCGCCCGAAACGTCGTGATTTAGTTTTATTTCATTCGAGAACGGCAACTTGACTTGACCCTAAAGAACCAACAGAGGCTACCCGGGGGAGCTTTGTCTGTGTCTGTGTGTGACTGCACTTGCCCCTACGGCCCTGCTAGAGGCTACCTGGGGGAGCTTTGTCTGTGTCTGTGTGACTGCACTTGCCCCTACAGCCCTGCTAGAGGTCTACCTGGGGGAGCTTTGTCTGTGTCTGTGTGACTGCACTTGCCCCTACGGCCCTGCTAGAGGCTACCTGGGGGAGCTTTGTCTGTGTCTGTGTGACTGCACTTGCCCCTACAGCCCTGCTAGAGGCTACCTGGGGGACCTTTGTCTGTGTCTGTGTGACTGCACTTGCCCCTACAACCCTGCTAGAGGCTACCTGGGGGATCTTTGTCTGTGTCTGTGTGACTGCACTTGCCCCTACAGCCCTGCTAGAGGCTACCTGGGGGAGCTTTGTCTGTGTCTGTGTGACTGCACTTGCCCCTACAGCCCTGCTAGAGGCTACCTGGGTCACCTTTGTCTGTGTCTGTGTAACTGCACTTGCCCCTACGGCCCTGCTAGAGGCTACCTGGGTCACCTTTGTCTGTGTCTGTGTGACTGCACTTGCCCCTACAGCCCTGCTAGAGGCTACCTGGGGGAGCTTTGTCTGTGTCTGTGTGACTGCACTTGCCCCTACGGCCCTGCTAGAGGCTACCTGGGGTCACCTTTGTCTGTGTCTGTGTGACTGCACTTGCCCCTACAGCCCTGCTAGAGGCTACCTGGGGGAGCTTTGTCTGTGTCTGTGTAACTGCACTTGCCCCTACAGCCCTGCTAGAGGCTACCTGGGGCAGCTTTGTCTGTGTCTGTGTGACTGCACTTGCCCCTACAGCCCCGCTAGAGGCTACCTGGGTCACCTTTGTCTGTGTCTTTGTGTGCCTGCACTTGCCCCTACAGCCCTGCTAGAGGCTACCTGGGGGAGCTTTGTCTGTGTCTGTGTGATTGCACTTACCCCTACAGCCCTGCTAGAGGCTACCTGGGTCACCTTTGTCTGTGTCTTTGTGTGCCTGCACTTGCCCCTACAGCCCTGCTAGAGGCTACCCGGGTCACCTTTGTCTGTGTCTTTGTGTGCCTGCACTTGCCCCTACAGCCCTGCTAGAGGCTACCTGGGTCACCTTTGTCTGTGTCTGTGTGACTGCACTTGCCCCTACGGCCCTGCTAGAGGCTACCTGGGTCACCTTTGTCTGTGTCTGTGTGACTGCACTTGCCCCTACAGCCCTGCTAGAGGCTACCTGGGGGAGCTTTGTCTGTGTCTGTGTGACTGCACTTGCCCCTACAGCCCTGCTAGAGGCTACCTGGGGGAGCTTTGTCTGTGTCTGTGTGACTGCACTTGCCCCTACGGCCCTGCTAGAGGCTACCTGGGGGAGCTTTGTCTGTGTCTGTGTGACTGCACTTGCCCCTACAGCCCTGCTAGAGGCTACCTGGGGGACCTTTGTCTGTGTCTGTGTGTGACTGCACTTGCCCCTACAGCCCTGCTAGAAGGCTACCTGGGGGACCTTTGTCTGTGTCTTTGTGTGCCTGCACTTGCCCCTACAGCCCTGCTAGAGGCTACCTGGGTCACCTTTGTCTGTGTCTTTGTGTGCCTGCACTTGCCCCTACGGCCCTGCTAGAGGCTACCTGGGTCACCTTTGTCTGTGTCTGTGTGACTGCACTTGCCCCTACAGCCCTGCTAGAGGCTACCTGGGTCACCTTTGTCTGTGTCTTTGTGTGCCTGCACTTGCCCCTACGGCCCTGCTAGAGGCTACCTGGGTCACCTTTGTCTGTGTCTTTGTGTGCCTGCACTTGCCCCTACGGCCCTGCTAGAGGCTACCTGGGTCACCTTTGTCTGTGTCTTTGTGTGCCTGCACTTGCCCCTACAGCCCTGCTAGAGGCTACCTGGGTCACCTTTGTCTGTGTCTTTGTGTGCCTGCACTTGCCCCTACAGCCCTGCTAGAGGCTACCTGGGCGAGCTTTGTCTGTGTCTGTGTGACTGCACTTGCCCCTACAGCCCTGCTAGAGGCTACCTGGGGGAGCTTTGTCTGTGTCTGTGTGACTGCACTTGCCCCTACAGCCCTGCTAGAGGGCTACCTGGGGGACCTTTGTCTGTGTCTGTGTGTGACTGCACTTGCCCCTACAGCCCTGCTAGAGGCTACCTGGGTCACCTTTGTCTGTGTCTGTGTGACTGCACTTGCCCCTACAGCCCTGCTAGAGGCTACCTGGGGTCACCTTTGTCTGTGTCTGTGTAACTGCACTTGCCCCTACAGCCCTGCTAGAGGCTACCTGGGGTCACCTTTGTCTGTGTCTGTGTAACTGCACTTGCCCCTACAGCCCTGCTAGAGGCTACCTGGGGTCACCTTTGTCTGTGTCTGTGTAACTGCACTTGCCCCTACAGCCCTGCTAGAGGCTACCTGGGGGACCTTTGTCTGTGTCTGTGTGACTGCACTTGCCCCTACAGCCCTGCTAGAGGCTACCTGGGGTCACCTTTGTCTGTGTCTGTGTAACTGCACTTGCCCCTACAGCCCTGCTAGAGGCTACCTGGGTCACCTTTGTCTGTGTCTTTGTGTGCCTCAGGGCTGCTGCTGGTCGCCTTGCTTGGCTGCTCGGCGGTTCTCGTAGGGCTGAGATCGACCCTCGGACGCTCGTGAGTGGTCGCTCGTTGCCATGGTTACCGGCGTTGTTACCGTGGTTACCGTCATCGTTAACGCCCAGATCGACCATTCGGACGCTCGTGAGTGGTCCCTCGTTGCCATGGTTACCATTATCGTAGCCATGGTCACCGTAATGGTTACCATCGTTACCATCACGGTTACCAACGAGGTTACCATCGTCACCATTATCGTTACCATGGTTACCGTCATCGTTACCGCCATCATCACCGTGACTTTGTAGATGATGATGATGATGTTAGTGATCATGATGTTGTTACTGATGATGATGTTAGTGATGATGTTGTTAGTGATGATGATGATGTTAGTGATGATGTTGTTAGTGATGATGTTGCTAGTGATGATGATGATGTTAGTGATGATGTTGTTAGTGATGATGATGATGTTAGTGATGATGTTGTTAGTGATGATGATGATGTTAGTGATGATGTTGTTAGTGATGATGATGATGTTGTGTTAGTGATGATGATGATGTTAGTGATGATGATGATGATGTTAGTGATGATGTTAGTGATGATGATGATGTTAGTGATGATGTTGTTAGTGATGATGATGATGTTAGTGATGATGTTGTTAGTGATGATGATGATGTTAGTGATGATGATGTTAGTGATGATGATGTTAGTGATGATGATGATGTTAGTGATGATGTTAGTGATGATGATGTTGTGTTAGTGATGATGATAATGTTAGTGATGATGATGTTAGTGATGATGATGATGTTAGTGATGATGATGATGTTAGTGATGATGTTGTTAGTGATGATGTTAGTGATGATGTTGTTAGTGATGATGATAATGTTAGTGATGATGTTAGTGATGATGATGATGTTAGTGATGATGATGTTAGTGATGATGATGATGTTGTTAGTGATGATGATGTGTTAGTGATGATGATGTTGTTAGTGATGATGTGTTAGTGATGATGATGATGATGTTAGTGATGATGTTAGTGATGATGATGATGTTAGTGATGATGTTGTTAGTGATGATGATGTTAGTGATGATGATGATGTTGTTAGTGATGATGATGTGTTAGTGATGATGATGTTAGTGATGATGATGATGATGTTAGTGATGATGATGATGATGTTAGTGATTATAATCTTATTAGTGATGATGATGATGTTAGTAATGATGATGATGTTAGTGATGATGATGATGATGATGTTAGTGATTATGATCTTATTAGTGATGATGATGATGATGTTAGTGATGATGATGTTAGTGATGATGATGATGATGTGTTAGTGATGATGATGTTGATGTTAGTGATGATGATGTTAGTGATGATGTTGTTGTTAGTGATGATGATGTTAGTGATGATGATGTTAGTGATGATGTTGTTGTTAGTGATGATGATGTTAGTGATGGTGATGTGTTAGTGATGATGATGTTGTTGCTAGTGATGATGATGTTAGTGATGATGTTAGTGATGATGATGATGATGTTCGTGATGATGTGTTAGTGATGATGTGTTAGTGATGATGATGATGATGATGTTAGTGATGATGATGTGTTAGTGATGATGATGTTAGTGATGATGTTGTGTTAGTGATGATGTGTTAGTGATGATGATGATGTTAGTGATGATGTTGTGTTAGTGATGATGTGTTAGTGATGATGATGTGTTAGTGATGGTGATGATGTGTTAGTGATGATGATGTGTTAGTGATGATGTTGTGTTAGTGATGATGATGTGTTAGTGATGATGTGTTAGTGATGATGTTGTTGTTAGTTATGATGATGATGATGTTAGTGATGATGATGATGATGTGTTAGTGATGATGTTGATGTTGTTGTTGTTGATGATGTTGTTGATGTTGATGATGTTGGTGTTGTTGATGTTGATGATGTTGATGTTGTTGATGATGTTGATGATGTTGATGTTGATGATGTTGTTGTTGATGTTGATGATGTTGTTGTTGATGATGTTGATGATGTTGATGATGTTGTTGTTGTTGTTGATGTTGATGATGTTGTTGTTGATGTTGTTGATGATGTTGTTGTTGTTGTTGATGTTGATGATGTTGTTGTTGTTGTTGATGTTGATGATGTTGTTGTTGATGTTGTTGATGATGTTGTTGATGTTGTTGATGTTGATGATGTTGTTGTTGATGATGTTGATGGTGTTGTTGTTGTTGATGTTGTTGTTGATGTTGTTGATGATGTTGATGGTGTTGTTGATGATGTTGTTGTTGATGATGTTGTTGATGTTGATGATGTTGATGTTGTTGTTGATGTTGATGATGTTGATGTTGTTGATGTTGTTGATGATGTTGATGATGTTGATGATGTTGTTGTTGTTGTTGATGTTGTTGTTGTTGTTGATGTTGTTGTTGATGTTGTTGTTGTTGATGTTGATGATGTTGTTGTTGTTGATGTTGATGATGTTGTTGATGTTGATGATGTTGTTGTTGTTGTTGATGTTGTTGTTGTTGTTGATGTTGTTGTTGATGTTGTTGTTGATGTTGATGATGTTGATGATGTTGATGTTGATGTTGTTGATGTTGTTGTTGTTGTTGATGTTGATGATGTTGTTGATGTTGATGATGTTGTTGATGTTGTTGATGTTGATGATGTTGATGATGTTGATGTTGTTGATGATGTTGATGATGTTGTTGATGTTGATGATGTTGTTGTTGATGATGTTGATGATGTTGATGATGTTGATGTTGTTGATGATGTTGTTGATGTTGTTGTTGATGATGTTGATGATGTTGTTGTTGATGATGTTAATGATGATGATGTTGTTGATGTTGATGATGTTGTTGATGTTGTTGTTGATGATGTTGTTGTTGATGATGTTAATGATGTTGTTGTGGATGATGTTGATGATGTTGATGATGTTGTTGATGATGTTAATGATGTTGTTGTTGATGATGTTGATGATGTTGTTGATGTTGTTGTTGTTTTTGCATCAGAAGGTTAATTCCTGTAGCAGCAAGCGATGTTAACAGAGTTTCCATTCCAAGGTAACTAACTCACTACTACACTACACTATAGTGTACTATAATACACCATAGTACACACTATCGTACTATAGTGTACAATAGTACACTATAGTACTATAGTGTGTACTATTTTGTAATATAGTACACACTATAGTACACACTATAGTACACTATAGTACGGGTACTCTATAGTACACACTATAGTACACTATAGTACACTATAGTACTATAGTGTACTATTGTACACTATAGCACTATAGTGTGAACTATAGTGTACTATAGTACACACCATAGTACACTATAGTACACACTATAGTACACTATAGTACGGGTACTATAGTACACTATAGTACTATAGTGTACTATAGTACACACTATAGTACACACTATAGTACACACTATAGTACCGGTACTATAGTGTGTACGGGTACTATAGTACACACTATATTACCGATACTATAGTCTCTGACGGTTTTTGTGTTTCTACCTTTCAGAGATTTGAGAATCGCCCTGAGAATCTCTGCCAATACCACGACAATTATAATGTGAGCAGAATACTATACACTATACACTACACTATACACTACACTATACACTACACTATACACTACACTATACACTACACTATACACTACTACACTATACACTACTACACTATACACTACTACACTATACACTACACTATACACTACTACACTATACACTACTACACTATACACTACTACACTATACACTACTACACTATACACTACTACACTACACACTACTACACTATACACTACTACACTATACACTACTACACTATACACTACTACACTATACACTACTACACTATACACTACTACACTATACACTACTACACTAAACACTACTACACTATACACTACTACACTATACACTACTACACTATACACTACTACACTATACACTACTACACTATACACTACTACACTATACACTACTACACTATACACTACTACACTATACACTACACTATACACTACTATACTATACACTACTACACTATACACTACTACACTATACACTACTACACTATACACTACACTATACACTATACACTACACTATACACTACACTATACACTACTACACTATACACTATACACTACTACACTATACACTACTACACTATACACTACTACACTATACACTACTACACTATACACTACTACACTATACACTACTACACTATACACTACTACACTATACACTACACTATACACTACTACACTATACACTACTACACTATACACTACACTATACACTACTACAATATACACTACTACACTATACACTACACTATACACTACTACACTATACACTACTACACTATACACTACTACACTATACACTATACACTACTACACTATACACTATACACTACACTATACACTACTGCACTATACACTACTACATTATACACTACTACACTATACACTACACTATACACTACTACACTATACACTACACTATACACTACACTATACACTACACTATACACTACTACACTATACACTACTACACTATACACTACTACACTATACACTACTACACTATACACTACTACACTATACACTACACTATTTACTACACTATACACTACTACACTATACACTACACTATACACTACACTATACACTACTACACTATACACTACACTATACACTATACACTACTACACTATACACTACACTATACACTACTACACTATACACTACTACACTACTACACTATACACTACACTATACACTACACTATACACTACACTATACACTACTATACACTACACTATACACTACACTATACACTACACTATACACTACACTATACACTACTACACTATACACTACTACACTATACACTACACTACTACACTATACACTACACTATACACTACACTATACACTACTATACACTACTACACTATACACTACTACACTATACACTATACACTACACTATACACTATACACTACTACACTACTACACTATACACTACACTATACACTACACTATACACTACACTACTACACTATACACTACACTATACACTACTACACTATACACTACACACTATACACTACACTATACACTACTATACACTACACTATACACTACTACACTATACACTACACTATACACTACACTATACACTACACTATACACTACTATACACTACACTATACACTACACTACTACACTACACTATACACTACACTATACACTACACTATACACTACTACACTATACACTACTACACTATACACTACACTACTACACTACTACACTATACACTACACTATACACTACACTATACACTACACTATACACTACTATACACTACTACACTATACACTACTACACTATACACTACACTATACACTACTACACTATACACTACTACACTATACACTACACTATACACTACACTATACACTACACTATACACTACTACACTACTACACTATACACTACACTATACACTACACTATACACTACACTATACACTACTACACTATACACTACACTATACACTACTACACTATACACTACACTATACACTACACTATACACTACTACACTATACACTACACACTATACACTACACTATACACTACTATACACTACACTATACACTACACTATACACTACTATACACTACTACACTATACACTACTACACTATACACTACACTATACACTACTACACTATACACTACTACACTATACACTACACTATACACTACACTATACACTACACTATACACTACTACACTACTACACTATACACTACACTATACACTACACTATACACTACACTATACACTACTACACTATACACTACACTATACACTACTACACTATACACTACACTATACACTACACTATACACTACTACACTATACACTACACACTATACACTACACTATACACTACTATACACTACACTATACACTACTACACTATACACTACACTATACACTACACTATACACTACACTATTCACTACTACACTATACACTACTACACTATACACTACACTATACACTACTACACTATACACTACTACACTACACTACTACACTATACACTACTACACTATACACTACTACACTATACACTACACTATACACTACACTATACACTACACTATTCACTCCTCCTCCTCCCTCCTCCTCCTCAGGATTGACCCACACGTCAACCTGTTCCTCAGGCCGGAAGACCTCACGTCCACTCAACTCGTTCACTATGGACTTCCCTTTGGTATTGGAAACTCTGGTAACACTTACACACTCACTCACACACTCACTCACTCACTTACACTCACACTCACTCACTTACACACTCACTCACACACTTACACACTCACTCACACACTCACTCACACACTTACACACCCACACACTCACTCACCCACTCACTCACACACTTACACACTCACTCACACACTTACACACTCACAAACTCACTCACCCACTCACTCACACACTCACTCACTCACTTAGACACTCACTTACACACTCACCCACTCACTCACCCAGCCACTCACCCACCCACTCACTCACCCACCCACACACTCACTCACACACTTACAGACTCACTTACACACTCACTCACACACACACTCACTCACACATACACTCACTCACTCACACACTCACTCACCCACTCACACACTCACTCACTCACCCACTCACTCACTCACTTACACACTCACTTACACACTTACATACTCACTCACATACTTACACACTCACCCACGCACTCTCTCACCCACTCACCCATTCACTCACTCACTCACACACTCACTCACCCACTCACTCACCCATTCACCCACTCACTCACACACTCACTCACCCACTCACTCACCCATTCACCCACTCACTCACTCACACACTCACTCACTCACCCAGCCACTCACCCAGCCACTCACCCACCCACTCACTCACCCACCCACACACTCACTCACTCACACACTCACCCACTCACTCACTCACCCACTCACTCACTCACCCACTCACTCACTCACACACTCACTCACCTTCCCACTCACTCACTCACACACTCACCTTCCCACTCACACACTCACTCACTCACTCACCCACTCACCCACTCACTCACTCACCCACCCACTCACACACTCATTCACTCACCCACTCACTCACCCACTCACCTACTCACTCACCCACTCACTCACCCACTCACTCACCCAGCCACTCACCCAGCCACTCACCCACTCACTCTCTCAAACACTCACTCAACCACCTACTCACTCACTCACCCACCCACACACTCACTCACTCACCCACTAACTCACACACTCACTCACACACTCACTCACCCAGCCACTCACCCAGCCACTCACCCACTCACTCACTCACCCACTCATCAACTCACTCACTCACCCACTCATACACTCACTCAGTCACTTACTCATACAACAACAACAACCGCCATTCGCCACTAAGTGGCGGTGACGTCACCACGACGCTTGTGCCAGGCTATGTGCACCCTGAGGCCACGTGAAGTGTCGAACGCCCGCTGGCAGGAGGTCACGGGGCAGACCCAGGTGCCACGGGTCGACTGACTGAGATGACTGGCTGATGCACCACCTGTGCCCCCTACTGTGCCAACCTGCTGTGCTTTAGCCACCCGGCGCTCCGCTCGTTGTTGTGAGCGTCGCTCCTCCGCCCTCCGTTGTTGTTGGAGGGCGACTGCCTCCAACTGCCCAGTAGCATCCTTCACGAGCCTCCTCCACAGAGGCCGATCTTGACACCGCTGGTACCAGTCATCGGCAAGTCCACTCAGCTCCACGTCCTCCTGTACCACATCACTCCATCTCTTCTCTAGCCCGTGCCGCGCCCGTTTAGCCCCCTCGATCCGGCAGAACAAAAGCTGTTTCGGCATGCGGTGGCTTGGAATGCGGGCTACATGACCCAGCCATCGCAGCCTTGCCTGCCGGAGGCGCTCACCGATGGGACCCTGCCCAGATCTTTCAAAGATTTGTGAGCTCCTCACACAATCCAGCCTTGTTAAACCCAGGATGGATCGTAGGCAGGCCAGCCTAAATGTTTCTAACCGGCGAAGATGTTCCATTAGGGGGGTCCATGTTTCGCAAGCGTAGAGAAGGGAGGGAATGACCGTGGCCGAGAAGACCTGAAGCTTAGTGCGGAGCGACAGACCAGGTAGCTTCCACACAGCGTTACGCAACCGATGAAAAGATATTGCCGCTCGACTGATTCGGAGTGAGACCTCTGCTGTTAAACTGGAGCCAGTCATAAGCACACTGCCCAGGTATGGGAAACTCTCCACTCTCTCCACAACTGCCCCATCACCGATTGGGAGTTGTGGGGGTGGAGTGTCCGATGGTACAAAATACCCAGGCAGGTGCTTAGTTTTGGTTGGGCTAATGGTAAGGCCCCACCTCTTAGTGGCACGCTCCAGTCTCAGCAGCAGCGTCTCCAACTCCTCCTCTGACTGAGCAGCTATTACCAAATCATCAGCATACATAACGTGGTTGAGCAATAGGGAGCCATCCCTTGACCGCACCCGGGCATCGATCAGCCTCCCATTATATCTGTACCATATGGAGATTCCCCCGGTACAGCTATTGAAGGCTTCACGAACTACGTGGTCAAAATAGATGTTAAATAATGTGGGAGCCAGAGGACATCCCTGTCGCACCCCAAGGTGTACAGGGAATGGCTCTGACTCCCGGCCACGTAGTTTTACCCGGGCCCGCTCACCATCATGAAGGTCCTTAATGATCGTGAGCAGAGGGTCAGGTACTCCAAAAGCACGACGAACGACCCAGAGCCCAGGCCTACTGATGGTATCATAGGCCTTGACCAGGTCAATAATGCAGAGATGTAGGTCTTGTTGGAATTCCCTACACCTCTGCTCAGACACACACACACAGACACACACACACACAGACACACACAGACACACAGACACACACAGACACACACACAGACACACACACAGACACACACACACAGACACACACAGACACACACACAGACACACACAGACACACAGACACACAGACACACACACACAGACACACAGACACACACACACAGACACACACACAGACACACACACAGACACTACTGCTCCCCACCCTTCATCTGTCACTGACTAACCCAAAAACCCCTCCCCTCAACCCCCCCTCAACCCCTCCCCTCAACCCCCCCCTCAACCCCCTCCCCTCAACCCCTCCCCTCAACCCCCCTCCCCTCACCCCCTCCCCCCTCCGTAGGGCCAACGTTGAAGAGAATTCTGAACCGGACCAAACGGTACGGCCTTAACGTTTCCAGTCCCAGGTGAGGATACCACGGAGGGAGGGAGGGAGGAGAGGCTACCTGGGGGAGCTTTGTCTGTGTCTGTGTGACTGCACTTGCCCCTATAGCCCTGCTAGAGGCTACCTGGGGGAGCTTTGTCTGTGTCTGTGTGACTGCACTTGCCCCTATAGCCCTGCTAGAGGCTACCTGGGTCACCTTTGTCTGTGTCTGTGTGACTGCACTTGCCCCTACAGCCCTGCTAGAGGCTACCTGGGGGAGCTTTGTCTGTGTCTGTGTGACTGCACTTGCCCCTACAGCCCTGCTAGAGGCTACCTGGGGGAGCTTTGTCTGTGTCTGTGTGACTGCACTTGCCCCTACAGCCCTGCTAGAGGTTACCTGGGGGAGCTTTGTCTGTGTCTGTGTGACTGCACTTGCCCCTACAGCCCTGCTAGAGGCTACCTGGGGGAGCTTTGTCTGTGTCTGTGTGACTGCACTTGCCCCTACAGCCCTGCTAGAGGCTACCTGGGGGAGCTTTGTCTGTGTCTGTGTGACTGCACTTGCCCCTACAGCCCTGCTAGAGGCTACCTGGGGGAGCCTTGTCTGTGTCTGTGTAACTGCACTTGCCCCTACGGCCCTGCTAGAGGCTACCTGGGTCACCTTTGTCTGTGTCTGTGTGACTGCACTAGCCCCTACAGCCCTGCTAGAGGCTACCTGGGGGAGCTTTGTCTGTGTCTGTGTGACTGCACTTGCCCCTACAGCCCTGCTAGAGGCTACCTGGGGGAGCTTTGTCTGTGTCTGTGTGACTGCACTTGCCCCTACAGCCCTGCTAGAGGCTACCTGGGGGAGCTTTGTCTGTGTCTGTGTGACTGCACTTGCCCCTACAACCCTGCTAGAGGCTACCTGGGGGAGCTTTGTCTGTGTCTGTGTAACAGCACTTGCCCCTACAGCCCTGCTAGAGGCTACCTGGGGGAGCTTTGTCTGTGTCTGTGTGATTGCACTTGCCCCTACAGCCCTGCCAGAGGCTACCTGGGGGAGCTCTGTCTGTGTCTGTGTAACTGCACTTGCCCCTACAGCCCTGCTAGAGGCTACCTGGGGGAGCTTTGTCTGTGTCTGTGTAACTGCACTTGCCCCTACGGCCCTGCTAGAGGCTACCTGGGTCACCTTTGTCTGTGTCTGTGTGACTGCACTTGCCCCTACAGCCCTGCTAGAGGCTACCTGGGGGAGCTTTGTCTGTGTCTGTGTGACTGCACTTGCCCCTACAGCCCTGCTAGAGGCTACCTGGGGGAGCTTTGTCTGTGTCTGTGTGACTGCACTTGCCCCTACAGCCCTGCTAGAGTCTACCTGGGGGAGCTTTGTCTGTGTCTGTGTGACTGCACTTGCCCCTACGGCCCTGCTAGAGGCTACCTGGGGGAGCTTTGTCTGTGTCTGTGTGACTGCACTTGCCCCTAGAGCCCTGCTAGAGGCTACCTGGGTGAGCTTTGTCTTTGTCTGTGTGACTGCACTTGCCCCTACAGCCCTGCTAGAGGCTACCTGGGGGAGCTTTGTCTGTGTCTGTGTAACTGCACTTGCCCCTACTGCCCTGCTAGAGGCTACCTTGGGGAGCTTTGTCTGTGTCTGTGTGACTGCACTTGCCCCTACAGCCCTGCTAGAGGCTACCTGGGGGACCTTTGTCTGTGCCCGGCAGGCGCTGCGTTGTGGTGGGGAACGGTCACGTGCTCAAGGGGCGTGGCCTCGGGGCGGCCATCGACCGGCATGACGTCATCATCAGGTGGGCCCAGTGCAGAAAGCAACCGGTATGCGTTTCGCATCGCGACGTGACGTCACGCTCACACCGCACCACGTGACAACCTCCCCACCTCGTTGTGACGTCACACCACCCCCACACCACACCACGTGACACCCCCCCCCCACTCACCATTGTGACGTCACAACACGCCCCCTCAACCAAATCCCCCACAACCTCCAGGATGAACGATGCCCCAACGCTGGGCCACGAGGTGGACGTGGGCCAGAGGACGACCCTGCGTCTCCTCTACCCAGAGTCGTCCTCCACCTCCTCGTCCACCTCCTCGTCGTCCTCCACCTCCTCCTCGTCGTCCACCTCCACGTGGGGGCAGGGAGAGGGCAGCCTCATGGCCGTGCTGGCCTTCAAGCCGGCCGACCTGCAGTGGCTGCAGCAGATGGTGGAGAAAAATCTCTCGGTGAGGAGCCTAGCGGTGGTAGTGTATAGTGTAGTGTAGTAGTGTAGTGTAGTGTGTAGTGTAGTGTAGTAGTGTAGTGTATAGTGTAGTAGTGTAGTGTATAGTGTAGTGTAGTAGTGTAGTGTAGTAGTAGTGTAGTAGTGTAGTTTATAGTGTAGTGTAGTAGTGTATAGTGTAGTGTAGTAGTGTATAGTGTAGTAGTGTATAGTGTAGTAGTGTATAGTGTAGTAGTGTATAGTGTAGTGTAGTAGTGTAGTGTAGTAGTGTATAGTGTAGTGTAGTAGTGTAGTAGTGTATAGTGTAGTAGTGTAGTAGTAGTGTAGTGTAGTAGTAGTGTATAGTGCAGTGTAGTAGTGTAGTGTAGTTTATAGTGTAGTGTAGTAGTGTAGTAGTAGTGTATAGTGTAGTGTAGTAGTAGTGTAGTGTAGTAGTGTAGTGTATAGTGTAGTGTAGTAGTAGTGTAGTGTAGTAGTGTAGTGTATAGTGTAGTGTAGTAGTGTAGTGTATAGTGTAGTGTGTAGTGTAGTAGTAGTGTAGTAGTGTATAGTGTAGTGTAGTAGTAGTGTAGTAGTGTATAGTGTAGTGTAGTAGTAGTGTGCAGTGTAGTAGTGTAGTGTAGTAGTGTATAGTGTAGTAGTGTAGTGTAGTAGTGTATAGTGTAGTGTAGTAGTAGTGTGTAGTGTAGTAGTGTAGTGTAGTAGTGTATAGTGTAGTAGTGTAGTGTAGTGTAGTTTATAGTGTAGTGTAGTAGTAGTGTAGTTTATAGTGTAGTGTAGTAGTAGTGTAGTGTATAGTATAGTGTAGAAGTAGTGTATTAGTGTAGTGTATAGTGTAGTAGTGTATAGTGTAGTGTAGTAGTAGTGTAGTGTGTAGTGTAGTGTAGTAGTAGTGTAGTTTATAGTGTAGTAGTAGTGTAGTGTATAGTGTAGTAGTAGTGTAGTAGTGTAGTGTATAGTGCAGTAGTGTAGTAGTAGTGTATAGTGTAGTGTATAATGTAGTGTAGTGTAGTTTATAGTGTAGTGTAGTAGTGTATAGTGTAGCAGATAGTGGAGAAGAATCTCTCGGTGAGTAGCCTAGCGGTGGTAGTGTATAGTGTAGTGTAGTAGTAGTGTAGTGTGTAGTGTAGTGTAGTAGTAGTGTAGTGTGTAGTGTATAGTGTAGTAGTGTAGTGTAGTAGTGTAGTAGTAGTGTAGTGTATAGTGTAGTGTAGTAGTGTAGTGTATAGTGTAGTGTAGTAGTGTAGTGTAGTAGTGTAGTGTAGTGTGTAGTGTAGTAGTAGTGTAGTGTATAGTGTAGTGTAGTAGTAGTGTAGTAGTGTAGTGTATAGTGTAGTGTATAGTGTAGTAGTGTAGTGTAGTAGTGTAGTAGTAGTGTAGTAGTGTAGTGTAGTGTGTAGTAGTAGTGTAGTAGTGTATAGTGTAGTGTAGTAGTAGTGTAGTGTATAGTGTAGTGTAGTAGTGTAGTGTAGTTTATAGTGTAGTGTAGTAGTGTAGTGTAGTAGTGTGTAGTAGTGTAGTAGTAGTGTAGTGTAGTGTGTAGTGTAGTAGTGTATAGTGTAGTGTAGTAGTGTAGTGTAGTAGTGTATAGTGTAGTAGTGTAGTGTAGTTTATAGTGTAGTGTAGTAGTAGTGTAGTGTATAGTGTAGTGTAGAAGTAGTGTATTAGTGTAGTGTATAGTGTAGTGTATAGTGTAGTAGTTTATAGTGTAGTGTAGTGTAGTAGTGTATAGTGTAGCAGATGGTGGAGAAGAATCTCTCGGTGAGGAGCCTAGCGGTGGTAGTGTATAGTGTAGTGTAGTAGTGTAGTGTATAGTGTAGTAGTAGTGTAGTAGTAGTGTAGTGTAGTAGTGTAGTGTATAGTGTAGTAGTGTATAGTGTAGTGTATAGTGTAGTAGTGTATAGTGTAGTAGTGCATAGTGTAGTAGTGTATAGTGTAGTGTAGTAGTGTAGTGTGTAGTGTAGTTTATAGTGTAGTGTGTAGTGGAGTAGTAGTGTAGTGTGTAGTGTAGTTTATAGTGTAGTGTGTAGTGTAGTAGTGTAGTGTAGTAGTAGTGTATAGTGTAGTGTGTAGTGTAGTAGTAGTGTAATGTAGTAGTGTATAGTGTAGTGTGTAGTGTAGTAGTAGTGTAGTAGTAGTGTAGTGTATAGTGTGGTGTATAGTGTAGTAGTGTATAGTGTAGTAGTAGTGTAGTGTAGTAGTTTATAGTGTAGTGTAGTAGTGTAGTGTGTAGTAGTGTAGTAGTGTATAGTGTAGTGTAGTAGTGTAGTGTATAGTGTAGTGTAGTAGTGTATAGTGTAGTGTAGTAGTGTATATTGTAGTGTAGTAGTGTAGTGTATAGTGTAGTGTAGTAGTAGTGTAGTGTGTAGTGTAGTGTATAGTGTAGTAGTGTATAGTGTAGTAGTGTAGTAGTAGTGTAGTGTAGTAGTGTAGTAGTTTATAGTGTAGTGTAGTAGTGTAGTGTGTAGTAGTGTAGTGTAGTAGTGTATAGTGTAGTAGTGTATAGTGTAGTGTAGTAGTGTAGTGTGTAGTGTTGTAGTGTATAGTGTAGTGTAGTAGTGTATAGTGTAGTGTAGTAGTGTATAGTGTAGTGTAGTAGTGTAGTAGTGTATAGTGTAGTGTAGTAATAGTGTAGTGTGTAGAGTAGTGTAGTGTGTAGTGTAGTAGTGTAGTGTAGTGTATAGTGTAGTTTATAGTGTAGTAGTGTATAGTGTAGTGTAGTAGTGTAGTGTGTAGTGTAGTGTATAGTGTAGTGTAGTAGTGTAGTGTATAGTGTAGTGTAGTAGTGTATAGTCTAGTAGTGTATAGTGTAGTAGTGTATAGTGTAGTGTAGTAGTGTAGTATGTAGTGTAGTAGTGTGTAGCGCAGTAGTGTACAGTGTAGTGTATAGTGTAGTGTAGTAGTGTAGTGTGTAGTGTATAGTGTAGTGTAGTAGTGTATAGTGTAGTGTAGTAGTGTATAGTGTAGTAGTGTGTAGTGTAGTAGTGTATAGTGTAGTAGTGTATAGTGTAGTAGTGTATAGTGTAGTGTGTAGTGTAGTGTATAGTGTAGTGTAGTAGTGTAGTGTAGTAGTGTAGTAGTGTATAGTGTAGTAGTGTATAGTGTAGTGTATAGTGTAGTGTATAGTGTAGTAGTGTATAGTGTAGTAGTGTATAGTGTAGTAGTGTGTAGTGTAGTAGTGTAGTAGTGTAGTGTGTAGTGTAGTGTATAGTGTAGTGTGTAGTGTAGTAGTGTATAGTGTACTAGTGTAGTAGTGTATAGTTTAGTGTGTAGTGTAGTGTATAGTGTAGTGTATAGTGTAGTGTGTAGTGTAGTAGTGTATAGTGTAGTAGTGTATAGTGTAGTGTATAGTGTAGTGTAGTAGTGTACAGTGTAGTAGTGTATAGTGTAGTAGTGTATAGTGTAGTGTAGTAGTGTAGTAGTGTATAGTGTAGTAGTGTATAGTGTAGT